TGTGTGTGCACTCTATTTTGGAGACTGTTGGTGTACAGCAGCAATGTTTTAGGTGGCTAATGAAAACTAACTTTTCAAGAAAAAGAAACTGGAATCCAAGCAGTATTCAAGTAGTGAAATTCCAAGTCAAGACTTGATTTTTGCCGTGAGTAAAATGGGATTGAAAGTCATATTGGTTTAAAATGGACTTAGAAATTTATGACGGGGTCAGTCACATTAAGTATTGTAGATGGCTTTAGTAAATTGAGTCCATTCAAATGAAAGTGTTTTACTTGTGAGCAAGTGTAAATATCTAGGGATAAGCAAATGTGACCTGAAAATAAGGATACGGTATTCAGTGTTATAAACCTATAAAGGAATTGGATGTTTTAGTATTAAAAGTAATTTAGTGGGAGTATGTGAAACTTTTTTTGGTTACAGGTAACTTTCTTCATTATCAGAAGAATAGGAAGTTATTTGTAGCTTTATGTAGTGAAATCAGTGTGATAAGCATTGAATTCTGCACATAATTTGGGGGTGTGCTTCTTTTTAAAAAGGAATTTTGAGAATGGGGCAGAAGATCTGTCGAGCTAATAGAAAGGTCTAAGAATAAATAGTCATCAAAATATATTATTGAGCAGGATACCAAAGAACACTGACTTCTTTAATTTCACAGAAAGAAGACTGGGATGTATCTTACAAGTTCCCAGTATTTCCTTCTTACATTCTTGCACCAAAGGGCTTCAATGATTGAAGCAGACTAATCAAAATGGAAATAAAATACAAGCTCTGAATTGGTAATAAGTGTTGGAATATCCTGTCAACAAAAGGGTGAATTCTTCATTTCCTAGAAATGAAAGTTTCTTTGTTTTTCTAACTTCCCTTATTTTTCTTAAAGATTTATATAAAAGAGCTTACACTTTAATCTCTATTGTGGGGGGAAAAAATGCAGATACTCTTTATTAGTAACATGTTACTTTCTGACTTTTCTTCTGGAGACCTAGAGACATGAAGAAATAATGTAAGTAACAGAATGACGTTAGGTTATTGTTTTTAAGCAAAACCAATAAGACTAGGTTTTTTTTTTAAATCAAAATAAAGTTGTAGCACTTTGAACTGTTAATATGAAGTTATTTTATAAACACAGGGAATTTTAGATGTAATAACCTGTATCTGCCTTACAGAAGTTAGTAACAACACGTTAAACACAATTTTGGGGTATTCTGGAGTTTTCTTCTAATCAGAAGATAAGTGTTGTAGGTAGAATAAGTACTATTCTTGTCATGTTAAGTAAAATGAAATTGATCACAGCTGAGACACTTAACTCCCTGCTCTGGATGTATACTTAACAGGACTTGCTGTGGTGCTCTTATGATACGATGTGGTAGAATAAAATGTTAAAGGGTGTTTTTGACATCTATAAACATACTTCTGAAATTGGCAACTTTGCCTATAAATCTGACAATGTCACAAATTGCTTTCTACAAATGTTTCCTTTTTTTGCTAGCACGTAGTCATGCAAATGAGTTCTATAAATCTAGACAAAGCCCCGAAGTCTTCTGGCTTCTGTATTTTTGAAGTGTGTTAATATTTTAGAATGTTACAAAGATAGACAGAGCAGATGCAATGGTAATAGAGTAGACAAACTTCTCATGAGAATATTGTGGTGTTAATGACTTCAAACATGCAACTATAACAACAGAGATTCTCAGAATGTGTCTCAAGCCTTTACAAGTGGTGCTCTTTTCTTTTTCTTTATATGCTCAGGTGTTTTGGGGTTTGGGGTTTTTTTGGACTTACATTTCTGTACTTCTGTTGGATAACAATTTGCTGCTGCAGATACATCTGTGTTTCCAAGTATAATTTCACCATACCAGAAAGTGGAGGAGGAAAACGTGAATTCTACAGTTATAATATCACCTTATGTGTACAAATATATTTTCTGTACTAATGCATTTTCTGATCCATTATCTGATAATCTTTCTAAAATTAAAACCACTACTTGTACCATGTTCTGATGTGCAATGTGGTCTATGCTTCTCCATTAGTAGCAATAAGCTACTCTTATGAACTCTTTCTGAAATTGGTATGATTATGCATGTTAAGTGTATTAGTATAGGTACGGGTGTAATTATGCCTATTTAAAAAATGAATGGAAGCTCTAATCTTCAGAAAGTTGAACAGTTAAACTGGATTTTTAGGGGTTATATTTTTATTATTCTCACTTGTAAGAAAAGAGATTAGTGAAAATACTCTTAAAAACTGCTGTGTTCATTTGCTCTTAGTTTGGTGGTGTGGTTTGGTTTTTTTTGTTTTTTAACCCAAAGCTGAGTGTAAGTAAAACTGTAGTAAGCTGTAAAAAACTTGAGACTTGCTGTACCTCAGAAAACACCCAGAGTTAGGGATGTTTTCATTTTTAAACTTACATTTGATCTGCAGAGAAGGAAAGTTAAATCCAGTATTTCATTAGGGTATTCTGAAAATACGTTTTGTAGTTCTGTATAGTACAGTATTGTAACAATGGGCACCGCAGAAAAAGGTCACATGAAAGGAAAACTACATTTTCAGAGTATTGAATATTTTAAGTAAATGAAACACAGAGGATACCTACTGAAGAGCAAAAAAAATTGAGAATTACTACTTAAGTGAACAAAATTTATTCTGCTGAATGAGGTCCTATGCATATGAGGAACTGCAAGATGAATAGATGCATTGATAGCAAGTTATTTTTAATTATAGTTACACAATGGATATGTACAAAAAGGCAAACGTAAAATTGGATCATAAGGCTTTAAATATTGGTATTTCCCAGCTTCTAGATTGCCTTGATTCTTAGGACAGGTGTTTATATAAAACTATAAAGTCCAGAAGTGCAGAATATTTTTGTATTGATTTTTGGAATGTATGTGCTGTTCATTGTATTGTGCTTGTTCATCATATTGATAAGGTATGTGAGTAGACATGAAGATACCGGAAGGTGAAGACAGAACATGGCATCGTTGCTAGCGTAATTGTAAATGCAGTGCTTGAGAATATTAAAGAACATTTCCAGGCTTTTGATACCTGCATTTATTTTGTCAAGTATTCTTTCAGGAAGCACTTTCTAATGAAGTGGGTGATCTTATGTGCACTGCTAACTGAAACTGAAAGTTGGTTATGTCTCTACTAAAGGTTTAGATACCCTTAACTGATTTGTTAAATGTATTTAACTGATTCTCCTCCTGTGCCAGGAGAAGCCTTGTTATACATGCTTGTTATGCTTCTGTTCAGGAAAAAGAACAGAACTAACTTTTTCAGGTAACATGTAGTTTTACTAGTCTAATCTGTGCACATCAGGAGACCTTTGTTCAATGATTCTGGTAACAGACTAGATAGTAAGGGAATCTTCTTAGTGCAACGCATGTGACTTCTGGTGCTAGTTTTCAAGATGTTTATGGCCTCGATATCACCAGCCTTCTGAGGAAATGTGTACTGTAAGTATGTGTCTATGCTAGGTTTTATGGAACGCTGCCATAGGAAACTCAACAAAACTTGATTTTTGACACAATAATAGCCTTTATTTTTAATGTTTTTTTATGAATAGCAAATTAACATATTTTTCGCATGTTTTGTGATGGAGACACTTATATAACACTTACATATACATCATATATATACACATATATGTATGTGTGTAACATATATATATATCACTTATTTTACGTCAGGAAAGTGTTGGACTTAAAAAGAAGGTATTGGAGTAATGGTTCACATTTTAGAGTCCATGTAAGATTTGAAAGCAAATGTAGCTTTAACACTAAATTTGCCTTTTGCCCTTCTAAGTAGGTGTATTTTATACCTGTTTACAGAGTATTTAAAAGATTGTTACCTGAACATACAGTGGGATATTTTTCTTCCCATGTATTGTGTTTGGAAATGATGTATGTTCTGTTCTTAACATAATTTTTATTTTAGTAATTTTCTAAGTTAAAAAAACCACAATAACAACTTAAAAATTTGTATTTGAAAATGTGTTTTATTCTAAGATCTTTTTCTAAATAATTTTAATGATTTGACAGTAATAATAGAATTTAATGGATTCTTTCTGACATCAGTTTTGGAAAGGATTTAAGGTGGTGTCTTGTGTGATACTTCGGAATTGAAATCAGAGTGAATCTTTACTGTAGATTCCCTTTGAGACTTTTAAAAGTTCCCTTTGTCATTTGTTCTTGTGATTACATTAAAAAAATCCCCAACTGTCATGTGTTTTGAATTAGTAAATTTCAATCTACCATACATTGTACTAAAAATCTAGATTTAAAAAACTCCAGACTTCCACTCTGTGTTTAGATTTTTAACAGACTAACTCACACTTAAGAAAAATGTTTTCTTTTATGTGTTATCTAAACAGAAACCAAAAGTAATGGAGGAAGAGAAGACAGGAGAAGCCTTCCAGTGTAAATTTACATAGAAAATGCTTGTATTTGGAAAAGAAATAATACTAACAAGTGATGGCTATAACAACTTGTCATCTATGATATTTTTATTTTGATGATGCATCTAAAACTTGACTTAATTATCTCATTGCACTTGAGGATTCATTAATCTCTCTTGGATTTTTAAATGTTTCTATAGATAATAAGGTGGCTTTATTCTTGAATGTAGTTTTGCCATAGCCTTAATTTTAAAAGTTTAAAATAAATGCATGTTTTTTTGAAAAGGAGCTTATTTCAACCTCTCTTCATACCTTTTTAAAATCCCGTTTCAGTTTACTGTTACAAAACCTAACAGATTTTTTTCATAAACCTCTTTAAGTCTTTCAGAAGTGAGACATGTAATATTCACAAAATACTTAATGAAAGTGGTACTACCTTCATTACTCCTGTTGTATCTTTTAAGATACCTTTTTGAGGTTTTATTGTGGCTTTTGTGTGAAAAATGTATTTATCTTCATATCAACTTGAAATTGGGTAGGAATTTTACTGATATGTTCATTAATCTTATTTAACACCTTATAATTACTTTGTATCTTCATTTTACAGATGGAATACCTCAGGTTTACTATTTTGGCCCATGTGGCAAGTATAATGCTATGGTGCTAGAATTACTTGGACCTAGTCTGGAAGATTTATTTGACTTGTGTGGTAGGACATTTTCTCTTAAAACCGTTCTTATGATAGCCGTACAGTTGGTAAGTAGAATAGATGTTAATTTGAGTGTTTATTAGAATAAGTCAGTGTTCAATGGATTAAGTGCTTATTTCACTTAAGAGATTTGCACTTTCCATGCTTTAAATTGGTGTTGGTGGCTACTAAAGAGCCTGTGATACAGTTTTATCAGGATTTACAGTTTTATCATATGTCACTTTCATTTACTTTGTTCTAGTTTTTCAAGAATCATTGCATGAATGGAATTCCATTGTGTCTGAGTTCTCATAATCACAACCTGAAATAACTAATTTTAGTTTGACATACTCAATTAAAAAGAAAATCTTCATGAAATAAAAATTATTTTAATCCATGAAAGCAGTTGGATGATGGGACTTAGAAATAGCATAAATATATTTCCTGGGCATTCTCAGAAAGAAAGCAAAAAACCAAAAAATCCCTCATCCCTTTCAGAAATGCTAAAATAGCACATATTTATTCAGTGAAGGATTTTTCCCCATTTTTAAGATTTCCTCATTTGTTTCCCACCTGACGGTGGGTGGAGGTGGAAAGAGAGAGAGAAATAAGGCTTTGCATATTTACATTGATACAATATGTTTTAAATGAGTCTTTATGAAATATTAATGATTCTGAATGTCCACTTCCCTGAATAGGTAGTGATATTTTTACCCATGAAGGGTAAAAATAGCTGTTTAAAACGTGACTGTAATTGAGTAACAGGCCTACAGCTATATACATATAGACCTATTCAGCTTATTTACAGCCAAATTGACAAAGTTCATTTTTTAAAATGCTCAAATTACCACAGATCCAAAGATGATCTCTTTAATACTTGCTGTTCCTTTCTGAATACATAAATTTTGATAGAAAGCAATCCAGCTAGTATGGAGGTTATATGCATATTGGTGAACTTTCAGTGCTTCTCTTGTTTATACCTTTAATATGTAATAGATCTACATGGAACTTTGCTGCTCACTGCTTGATGACATGATTTCTGGTTATAGTTTTAATGTGCACAAAACATACTTGGTGCCAGCTGTTCTTAAAGAAGATAACTTCTGTTATATATTTATTCATGTCTAATGTACAGTGTGAAAGTTTCCAATACACAATGTGGTGTATCTGCTTAGGGGATGTATATAATTTTCATTTATTTTAACTGGGAGATACCTTGCTAAGAGCAATAGCACTTTGGTTTTAGGCAATAGGAGGGGTGTTTTCCTCTAAATATAAAGTCAATGTAAGATATTTAGCTTCTACCACAATTTGATGCAGCAACCTCAAGCTTAAACTAAACTTCCTGTCCTTTTTTCCTTTTATTAAAGATTTCTCGTATGGAATATGTCCATTCAAGGAACTTGATATACAGAGATGTAAAACCTGAGAACTTCTTAATAGGACGACCTGGAAACAAAACCCAGCAAATTATTCATATTATAGATTTTGGTTTGGCAAAGGAGTATATAGATCCAGAAACAAAGAAGCACATACCGTACCGAGAACACAAGAGCCTTACAGGAACAGCTAGATACATGAGTATAAATACACATTTAGGAAAAGGTATGTGTGCTTTTAAAGTGTAGAAGCAAGGATTCAACAACTATCATTTGTCTGAAATCATCTTGTTTTCAAGTTGTAATTTTTCTCAGTCTGTACTCATTAAGTACTGCAAGTTTTGTGTACTGTGCAAAATTATAGCTTGTCCTTATGGAAGAACTGTTTATGGGAATAAGGTTGTCTAGGTCTAATCATCGTGGTCATATCTCAGAAAATAATTATTTTTGTTTGAAATTCATAAAAGAAAGATGAGGTGTATCTTTTTGTATCATAACATCTTCACATTAGAAGTATAGCATGGTGGGGTGGGTCATTACCTTGTCTATAGGCAAAAAATTTTTTATTTGATCAGTATGAGGCTCTTCTGCCTGTTCCTGCTTTTCTCTTGGTGCCTGCCTTAGTCTCAAAATAGAGGGATGAAACACCTGTCTAACTTTCTTGACTACTAAACTGGCTTCAGATATGCCTTTTTCTATGAAAATGTGGGGAAAGAATGTATTCAATTACTGTTTAGTGCATTCCATGGCAAACGTAGATCTGTGTTTATAAAACATCATTTGCTTCAGGGCAGCAAACTTGGGAAATTTACAGCATCTCCAGGCAAAATAAAGAATGTAGAGCTTTTTCCAATTAAACAAAACCTGCCAGTCTTCCAAACAGATAGGAGGAAGACTTAAGCAGGTACATTTAACTGATGATAAAAAGATGATGTTTTTCTATGTTGATGTTTCAAAAGGGTATTGATTTCACATGGCCAAATTTTACTTTATAATTTAAAATTAGTTTTGAATTGTATTTCACCTGACTTGCGTCTCTGCATCCTCTGGCTTCTTTGTTTCTTCACAAGCAAAGCTGAAGAATTTAATTTCATGATGTGCAAACGAATTCTGTCATTCATTCCAGATTTTGGCACAAGTTGATTTAGCTTTTTTCATACAGATTCCTAAAACAACCTCAAATTTCTCCATTAAGTAGGGAGAAAAAAACAGGTGTAACTATGGCTATGTTATGTATCCATATGTAAGCTTAACAGTGCATATAAGGTCCCCAGATTATTAGAAATTTACGAAATCACTGAACTGGACAGTTGCTGAAAGGTGATCCCAGTAGTTTGATAAGAGTTATATTTAGGTACTGTACACCTACATTTAAATAACTTTTAACATTTACACACTGTATTTTCTTAGGGAAATAAGAAGAGTGCTGTTCAACTTGCAAATGTCTTGCCTTTGTAACATCTGATACCTGATTTTGGAGGCAGCCTTTTGAGTCGCTTTAAAATCTCATTGACAGTCCCTGGAAACATCTTCACAAGGTGGCTACCCGCCTTATATGCATGATTTGAGGGAGAAGTTCTGAAAATAAAACAAAATGATAGTTGCTTCACTTTTTAAAGGTGGGAGATTGGACTCTTGTGCCCATCTTTTCAGGTTTTTGGAGTTGCTTCTATAGATAGTATGGAATTAGTTTAAATAAAAAATTTGAGATAGTCTCTGCTAAGTATATGAAAAACTGGTGTACTTTGTACTTATGCATCAGGAAAGCACAAATTTCAACAATGTTCTTTGTCAATGAAACACAGTTAATATCTAGAATATAATCAAGTATTGTGAAAAGCAGTTGAGACATCCTGGAATACAGCTTGCATGGCTAAGCTTAATAAGTGGGTTTATATGTAATGGAGTAGCTGTGAAAGAGTTACCTGGTTTGCTTTTCTTTTTTGTTTTTTGGTTTGGTTTGGTTTTTTTTTTTTTTTTCAGACTAAAGCTTTTGTACTGTTGTGGTTTAGCCCCAGCCAGCAGCTAGGCACCACACAGCCACTCGCTCACTCCACAGTGGGGTGGGGGAGAAAATCAGAAGGGTAAAAGTGAGAAACTCATGGGTTGAGATAAAGACAGTTTAATATTAAAAGCAAAAGCCACGTGTGCAAGCAAAGCCAGGAATTTGTTCACTACTTCCCACTGGCAGGCGGGTGCTCAGAAATCTCCAGGAAAGCAGGGCTCCATCATGCCTAACGGTGACTTGGGAAGACAAACGCCATCACTCTGAACGTCACCCCCTTCCTTGTTCCCCCAACTTATACACTGAGCATGATGCTATGTCTGGAATAGCCCTTTGGCCAGTTGGGGTCAGCTGTCCTGACTGTGCCCCTTCCCAGCTTCTTGTGTACGCTGAGAAGTCTTTGACTCATGTAAGCACTGCTTAGCAACAATTAAAACATCAGTGTGTGTTGTGGTTTAACCCAGCTGGCAACTAAGCACCACGCAGCTGCTTGCTCACTCCCCCTTCCCTCAGTGGGGTGGGGGAGAGAATGGGGAAGGAAAAAAAAGAGGTTAGAGCTGTGGGCTGAGATAAAGACAGTTTTATAAGAGAAAATAATAATAGTAATAATGAGAATGGTAAGAGAATATACAGAATATACAAAATGAATGATGCACAATGCAATTGCTCACCACCTGCTGACTGATGCCCAGCCCTGCGGCAAGCAGCGATTACTCCCTGTGCCTTCTGAACAGCCTGTAGCCATCAATAGCTACATTCCAGTCGTGGGATTCATCCCACCAAGTTTCCGTAATGGCAATCAGGTCGTAGCTTTCTAGCAGCATGGTAGCTTCCAACTCCTCCTGTTTGTTTCCCATGCTGTGTGCGTTTGTATAGATGCATCTCATCTGAGCTGTCGGCCTCGTCACCTTCACAGCAGAACAGCCCTTGTTTCCCTTTAGGTGTTTCACGGGCTTTTCCTTGTTGGCTCCTACTACCTCAGGAGCCTCCATCTCACGTCTGCCAGGCTTCACCTTTGCTGCAGTGCCCCTGGCACACTGCTGGGCAACTGTATCGCCCAGTGTCTCTGCCCACCACTGGAAGGAGCGAGGAAAAAATAACCTGCGCTCCAGATTCCTTTACTAACTGCGCCAAGGCTTTGAATTCTTTTTGGATCACCCTTGGGCTACTTACTGCAACTTCATCAGCACCCATGTGGAAGAGCAGTAAGGGATAGTAGTTCAAGGGTTGGACCAGGCTAGGATGTTTCCTAGTGGTGTCTCTAACCTGGGCTCCTTGGAGGCAGCAGACCTCCCTAAGAGCAGGGCCAGCCCAGCATATCGGACCCTCTGTTCCCCTCAGATGGGAATCTCCCACTACTACTATTACCTGTCTCTTCCTCCTCATGGATGTTGTAGTAATATGACAGGGAGGTCTTTCTGATCTTTGTGCCTCCTCCGATGTGGATAGGTCAACACCTACCCCGTCCACCGCCTTGTCTTCCACCTCTAGAGCCTCATACCTGTTATGCAGAGGCACCTGGGGAGAAGCGGTGGGCCAGGCAAGGGGTCTCCTCCTGCCCTGACTGCGGACCAGTTTCCACTTACTGCTTTCCATTGAGGCCCTTCCTTCATCCTGTTGGGGGGAGGATACTAGTTCCCTTTGATCCCGGGACTTTTTTGGTGGCTGTTCCTGCGTAGATTTCTGGGAAGTCAGGGTGCGGCTCCACTAGTCTATCTCCTGCTCCGCTTCCCTGATGCTCCGTAGCCTGTCTACCTTAAGTAACAAAGTCTGCTTAAAATTATTACAGCGGACCACTTTCTTCCATGCCTACAACAATCACCTTCAGGGACACTCGCCATGGCTGGGCTTCCTCTCAGCAGCTGAGTTGCCTGAGCTTACCTCGGGAGTTAGGGGGGGACCTCACCTTGCCTGTGCGCCCTGCCTGCGCAAACTGCCCGCGCAAACTGCTGCACCATGCCCTTCTGACAGGATTGTTTATTAGTATTCTTTTCAAATAGTTTATTCTCTCTAAGTAGAATTCAGTGATAAAGCTTAAGAATTTCATGGTCTTTAATAAATTGATGAAAGTAAATTTTACAAGAAATTGCGTAGCAGTTTACTGTAGGTTCTGGATTGAAACATAGAGCTTGAAGTGCAATAACAGATTAAAAGTTGGGTAACTAGCTGAAGGTGGTGCTTGTAGAGGAAAGAATGATGATTGGTAGTAGTTGTGGAAAGGAAGACCAAATGGATAATGAAGAAAATTATGACCAGCTACAGGTTTCAGCATTAGGTATTAAAAGTAACAAACATTTCAGTTTATGGAAATCTAAACTGTACTAAAAAACCTGTTGTGTTTCAGGGGCTGATGCACAAAGTGTTCAGTTATCCCTACCAGAGGGCTGCAATTTGAGGGTATAAGGGGAAGGCCAAACTCAGTCTGATACTCATCTTCCACAGTCAATAGCCTCCAAATGTTGATTTTGTTAGATGTTGGCTACTTCGGAGCTGACAGCTATCTTGCTTTCAACTGTCTACCCACATGTTTTCATGTGGACTGGGGAAAGGAGGGGGAGAATCTCTCCTTATTTCTGATACTTCAGAGCATCAGGATATTACCCTCATTCTGTTTTGTGCAGCTGCTGGTCTGAGTCTCAGAAAAGGTCTCAAAATTAGAACGTACTGGTAATGCATTTCAGTAGTGGACAGTTTAAATATCAGCGTCCCTATTTGCCATAGCATCATGGCCACTGTGGTTCCTTTCCTCATTACAGAAGTGTCTGGTGACCCTTAGCAAGTAAAGAATGATGCCAGTATTGTACTACTAATCATAGAATGGTTAAGGCTGGCAGAGACCTCTGCAGGTCATCTTGTTCAATTTCCCTGCTCAAGCAGGACCACCTAGAGCTGGTTGTCCAGGACCATGTCCAGACAGCTTTTGAATATCTCCAAGGAGGGAGATGCCACAGCCTCTCTGGGCAACCTGTGCCAGTAATACGTGTTCC